TTCTCTGTGATTTTGATATGTGAATTTCTTTTGTAGTTTCTGATTCTTGTGTGAGACTCAAGCCTTCAAGCTTAGGTCTGCTTCTTTTTGTGAACTTTATGTGTCTTTGTGCTTTAATTTTTGGACATGAAAGGCTGGTTCCTCTAAGCTTCCAGTTCTCTCTTTTGATTTTATATTGGAGTGGCCAGATTGATTTTCTTCAGGAGTTCCCACAGAGGCTCAAGTCAGATGAGGATCAGATGCTCTCAGGCTTTCTCCTAAGGTCTGGATCCCTCCAGGATATATTTTGGCCTCAGGAATTTGGGGGTCGGAGTGGCCTGGGAGCCAGACCCAGGAAAGATGCTGGTCTAGGGCAGTTGGTGGCCTTGCCACTCAGATATGCAAAGGAAGATGGGGGCGGGAGGGGGCTCCAAGGGCCCCTGGGGACTGCACTGAGGAGCTGCGTTGGTCTGGATGCAAAGGACCAGGAAGAGGAAAGGTCAGCCCAGGCTCTAGGAAAGAGACTGGTGGCTTGTACAGATCCATGTAGGCAGAGGGAGGTGAGGGTGGGGCCAGGCCCAGAGCGCCCCTGGGGACTGAGAAGGAACTGAGTTGGTCTGTTGGTCTGGATGCACAGGATCAGGAAGAAGCAGTGGTGGTTCCCAGGGTGCCTGGGGTGCCAAGACAAGGAATGGGACAGGGCCCAGGCTAGGAGGAGAGACTGGCTGGGGGGATGGGAGGGTGAGTGAGGCTGGGAAAATCAAGGCAGGGAGGGCAAGATCAGGTGCCCTGGAAAGAGAGGCCTGCGGGTCGAGAGAGGCCTGGGGGTACAGCAGACCCAGGGAAGCAGAGAGAGATGAGAGTGGGGCCAGGCCCAGAGTGTCCCTGGAGCCCTGGGAGAGAGAAACCTGCAGATCAGAGAGAGGCCTGCGGGGGTATTTTTTGTATATTTTTAATTGAATTTTTGTTATTTCTTACAAATTATTTTAATCATTTTATACCTCATCCTCCATCCATAACTCCCATAGCCCCTTCCCTGCTCCCACTGAATTTCATGCATTCTGTCATTTATGTTAAGGCCTGTCAAGTCAAGTTAGTATCCCTAGATGTCCCTCAGTGATGTCTCCACTGAGTTCATCCATTGAGGTCTAGTCAGCCTATCTAGAGTCTCTCCATTAAAGAATAACAACTCTCTCTCACCCAGCAGTAATCAGCTGCCAATAATTCTTTCACTAAGGTTGGGGCCTGCTGCCCATTTCCATAGTTCTATGTTGGGTTTTTATTTGCTTTACTTTGCATACATCCCGTGTATGCTGACATCATTGCTGTAGGTTCATATGAGAAAGGGGAAGAAGGAGCTGACTAATGATTCTTGATAAACATGCAAAGAACAAAAATTTCACGAAGCACACAAATCCCTATCCCAAACCATTTATTCCAGAAAACAAGCTAATTACAGCCATGTCTTACTCAATTAATTTTTTGAGCTCCTGGTGATTGTAAACATTGAGTTCATTATGGGGTCTAGGGGCTAGGCATAGTGGAACATGACTATAATCTGAACACTCGGGAAGCTGTGTGAGGAGAATCAAGAGTTTGAGGCCAGCCTGGGCAAAATAAGGAGAGCTGACTTAAAAACAATAAATCAGTAGATGAACAAACAAGAACAAATCCTCCAAAATATGGACCTGGGAGGGTTAGGAAATTTCATCCTCACTCTTGGCAGCTACATTTTTTTGCAAGATGATTGATTTTTGCATTGTCATTGCAGCAGGGGACAGAAACTTCCTTTATCCATCATCTAACTCAGGAGGAAATTGTGCCTGGGAATTCCATTTCAAGTTTAGATTCCAAGTGGCCTCAGATCCCAGAAATGCTGCTTTTGTTTTGTCATTTATTGTCTAGCACTCTAACTGGACTGTATGTTCCCAAGATGAGCTTTTACACTCAGATCTGTCTTAGTCAGTGTGGGCTGCTGCAACACTGCCTGATTATAAACAACAAAATTTATTTCTTACCATTCTGGAGGCTGAAAGTTCAAGATCAGGGTGTCTGGATGGTGAGTTTGGGTACAGATCACTGCCTTCTTATATTTCCACATGGCAAGAAGATAGACAGAAAGCTCTCTGAGATCCTTTTCCTAAAACTGTTGTTCCACTCATGAGGACTCATGACTTAACCATCCCCACCCCCAATACTATCACATTGGGATTTCAGAATATGAATTTTGAAGTACAAAAGCATTCAGTACATTACTCCTAAGATACTTAATATAATGCATGAAACTGAGTAATTGTTTAAAACTATTCTTTAGTAAATTGTTCTTTAATCAGTGGCTATGTCGTGTTTAAACTGAATAATAGAAGGACAGAATCTTGAGAATTTTTAAAATTACTTTTTCTGTCTTATACAGATATGTAACTTTAAAATTATCAAAGTGATTTGTTTGATTAATAGTAAAGCCTTGGTTTGTTAAGCATGTTTCTGTTTCCTTACTTATTTCACTTAATAATTTCACAATTGAAGTTAAAATAGCCCCATACAGTAAAGAAGACAAACGTCATCCCCCCCCCCCTTTTTTTTTATAAGCTGATAGGTTAAGAAATATCATGAGGGCTGGAGAGGTGGCTCGGTGATTAAGAGCACTGATTGCTCTTCCAGAACCGGGGTTCAATTCCCAGCACCTACATGGTGGCTAACAACTGTTCTTGGCTCCAGTTCCAGGGGATCCAGCTCCCCCTTCTGGCCTCCATTGGTATTGTATGACATGGGTACACTTATCTGGAGGCACAACACTCATACACATAAAATATAAACAAATAAGCGAACAAGTAAAAATTTTAGAAAGAAACACTATGAATTGATTCTCATCTTTCTTTAGCTCTGATTTTCGTCATTGCCCACCACTCGTTCGTCACCACTGTATCGCCTACTTATGATGCTCACAACCAACTCATGATTTTAAAAATCCAGACCTTTGTAGGTAGTCTCTTTAACTCAAATTTGCCATTATATGCCACACTCACCTTTATATTGCTGATTTCTTACTCATCCTTCAAAACTCTCAATGTTTCTACTTCCAGAAAATGCTTAGTAAAAGTAGATTCAGACCAGTTGGGAGGGGATTAGAGTTAACCATACAAGATGAGCTAATGAATGAACGCATGATAAAGCAGGGATGTAGGTGAGGTTGTGCTGCCCTTTACAAAGCCTGGTGCCAATATAATTATCTTCTTTCTGCTACCGGAAGCAGGGCCTCCCTTGTGATACCACCATGCCAGAGGTCACGCTATGCCACCTACTTCGATGTCGCTGTTCTCCGCTGCCTCCTCCAGCCCCATTGGTCTGAGGAAGGAACTCAGTGGTCCCTGATGTATTATTTACAAAGGCTGAGACACATGCTGGAAGAGAAACCAGAAAAGACCCCAGAGCCAGATATTCCTCTCCTGCCCAGACCCAGGAGTAGCTCAATGGTGGCAGCAGCTCCCTCTCTAGTGAACACCCACAAGACCCAGGTAAGACAAAGCTGGTCTGTTGTCGCTTTAGCCAATGATTTCAGCTAGCACACATTCTGTTTCTCTCTTGGGCTTCCAGCTCTCACATAGTCCTAGGCCTAAATGTGGTGGTAACGTTCTCTTTTGCCTTTCCCCTTCCTTTCTGTTGCACTGCTGGAACATTTTGCTCCTCTCTAAGCTCTTAATTTGCCTTTGGCAGAAGTATACCTCTTGTATATACTAATTTAGTGTAAGCCTTTGTTTATTCAGAACCTTAAAAAGTGGGCCTCCTGGAAAATCAGAGTGCCAGTTAGAATAGACTTCATGCAATCTGATAATTACCAGTATCATAAATTATGGGGCATGAGCATTTTACTGAATGTGTTTTCATCTTTTTTGCATAACTCAAACTCCTAAGGGACTCAACCATTGGGAGATTACTTTTTGATGCATAGTTCTGTTATTTACTATGGCTATTTGGAGAAGTAATCTGAATATGCTCTGATGTGGTAGCACATGGTACATTATGATAAATGGACGCTCAAATAGCAGCTGAAAATGTCTTCTTCCCTCTCTTTCTCATCAAATCAACATGAGAAAAATATAGAGAAAAAATTGGCTTGTAGGACAGTCCAATTATTCAGTATTAGCTGAATCTGAGTGGGTTAGTTCCGAAAATGTTTTTCTGCATAGTCTTAAAATAAACACTGCTTTGGTAGTAGATATTATATCTAAAATGAGCATCTCCTTTAATGAATTACTGACTACAAAAAATACCCTTTAAAAAAAAATCTCTGTGAGTTCAAGTCTAGCCAGGACTACAGCAAGCTCCAGGTCAGCCAGGGCTACAGAGTGAGACCTTATCTCAACAATATTATGTATAAAAATAAATAAATAAA